TCGCTGCAGCTTTCGCTGTGGTGGGGAAATTAAAACCACAACCGAGACAGTCTTGCCTGAGACACCAATTAGTTGCTGAAGAAAAGCCAGTGGTTGAAGGAGGAAGACGCACGTCATGGCTGTGCACGGATTTTAAGACAGTTTCCATTAAAACTGTTGGCAGCAGTGGAATGGCTGCATTTGCGATATCTTCTACCGAGCTGCAAACTCTCGACCTCAAATCAAATGTGTACAGCAGCAAACGATGAGGAAACCAATGTGAAGTACACAAGTTACTACACCTTTCACACTTTCACACCTGCCAGAGGCCACAATTATGAGGATGACAGCAACACAACCGCTGTGCATCACAGAAGCTTTGTCCCACTACTTCCTGGAAAATGATTTATTGATTTGAAATCTGCTGGCAGGAATGATGGAAACAGACTGTGCTGCACAGACTTGTCGATCAATACTGGGCCAAAAGAGGGGGACATGTTTTCCATGATGAGCCATCGCTAAAGGTTGGTGTCATCAAAACTGGCTAATTTTCAATTATATGTCGATTATTTTGGTTAATCATTTAGGCTACAAAATTTCAGAAAATAGTGAAAATGTCCCGCACAGTTTCCAAGAGTCCGAGGTGACGTCCTCAAATCCCAGAATTTGAGAGAACAGAAGCATTGAAAGTGGGAGGTTTTTGCTTTAAAAAAAAAAAATGGCATCAATTATTAATAAAATATCTAAATTGTTGATTTATTTATTTATTACTCAACAGTTGTTTTCTGAACTATCAGGGACAAAACAAATGGACAGTCACTGCTTGGACTGAGTGAGGCTAAAGTAACATATGGCTATAGCTCAATCAGAAGAGACTATATGAAATACTAAAACACATTTTGATGAAGACTCCAACTATGTGAAAAAGTTGTGAAAGACATTTTGTGGCTCCGGAGGCAAAGTCTGATAAATAGACTCAGTCGATGTCACTGTGGGTCGAGGCTGAACAATTAAGAAGAGAGCTTCCCCGGCCTGTGAGGCTCTTCATCTCTGCTTCAAACTAGCCGCTACTAGCGTAACACGCCTGAATCTGCTCAGCAGTCGAATTGCATTGTGGGCAATGTAGGCAGGCGCCAGGTTTTCACAAGGAAGAAGAATGGGTGGAATACAAAAGATAAAATCGGTCGAGTACTCTTGTAAAATATGTAATAAATTAAGAAGTAAGAGAGAATTAATCAATTAACTTGTAGATATTCTTGGAACCAGATTAAAACACAGATTTTCTGTTATGGAAATTAAACTTTGGGAGAAATAACATCAGTACTGCATTCACACTATTAACAAGAACCACCACACCACCCGAGCGCAGGCTTTTGGTCTAGTTAGGAACCCTGTCGGAGCTCAGAACGTCCCCGCAGTGACAGAAATATGAACCTAAATGAAGCCGAGTCTGTATTTGGAAAGCAAAACCTTCCTCCGGCTCTCAAGGCTTCTGGCTGCCATGGCAACAATGTTGGTCTCAGAGTGACTCATCTCTTCAGTGTCGATCACACAACAGGAGCTCGAAGCTCTCCAACCTCTCCATGGCAGGAGGGAAGGAGCATCTCTGCAATCTAGGAGGACCTGAAACCTCTTACCTACTTACCTCTTTATTTTTGTACGTTCTGTGTATGTACGTTAAACCAGAGTCAAATTTACATGGCCAATAAAGCTCATTTACTATTCATGGATTCCTATTATTTAATAAGATGAAAATAAAATCCGTCAAACATCGTATCCATGTTCTCGTAGAATGACTCCACTCGAGTCTGATTTTCACAACAAGGCGTGAGGAACCCGACCACAGCAGGCCGTCTTCACAGAGTACATGGAAGTATTTTATGCTGCGTCTCTAAATACAAAGTCATGCACGTAGAGAGACACACAATCTGATCACTGATGAGGAAAACTCAATCGTAAAGTCCTTATGGTGCGATCATTTACAACTGCGCCCGACTGCCACAGGAGAGAAAAAAAGAAAATCAATCTCGTGAATCAATCTGTGATGAGACAACAGACTCTGCTGCAAAAATCAACTCCAAAAATAGGACAAGCCACCTACAATGTAAGCCTCGGGTTTGTTGGTTTGTCACATTTTTGTTTGCTTGTTATTGTACTTCCATGTCACTTTCCCCCCGCTTTGCTGTGATTTATGGACGCTCTCTTGCAACGTTTCAAACTAATCCACTGATACAAACGTCCCTAAAGCTGATACGAGTCTAACTTCTAGCTGCCGTTAGCTCAACACTTCCATGTACATCACGTGCCAATAGCTCCTTCTCAGGAAACCAGCTCTGCCAATAATTAACTACACAACTTCAACAGAGAAATGAACAGTGGTTCTATAAGCTCTTTAAAAGCCTGTTCCCTATGTGGCATTAATAGAAATAACATTCTACTAATACTCGAACCATCGACTTCAGAGCGCACCCAGTCTTAGTGCACTAACAACAAGAAGACAGCCAGATGTGCATCCGTTAATAACATGTACCTCATTATTTCATCAGGAAGGGCTTTATGACTTTGATGTGAAAGCCAGGTGACTAATCTGTATTTAAAAATACCCAAAAACAAAATAACTGAAATATAGATTTCCTTAATTCTACAGCAGCAATAGTCCCCACGACGAGCATAAATCACCCTCAAGCTTATGGTGAAATGAAGTCGGATAATTCAGCCGTCACTGTCACGCTCGTCAACGTGCCGTTTGCTGCCGTGCTGGTTCTAGTCCGTTCTGGGTGTTGTTGTGGTGCAACACTCTAGTTTGGGAAAACCAAGTGTTTCAAATTCCTGTGCTTCTTTTCACTATCTGCTCTCAAAATGCGTCATACAAGATTAAAAAAAACACTACATTTTCTAAAAGCTGTTGAAATGTAAATGAAAACAGTCGTAACTCATTCGTGACATATTTTGTTTTCTTCGTCTTGAGGAGTTGCATCATGTTAAAAAGTTCCAGCTACTTGACCAGGCAAGTCAAAGTGTGCTTGTTAAACCAGTAACAGAAACACTGGTGATAAGATGTTGAGGCTTGTCGGAATAATTCTGAGGAAATTACTCATTTTGAATTAAAAAAAAAAAAAAAAAAAAAAAGCTGTTGTAAGATTAAGCAAGAAAGGCAAAGTGTCAGTACCTCAAATTCAGGTTATTTGTGTGGATCATAATAGGATTCAAACTTAGTTATTGTCATATATATATAGTGATATAAGTTATGATATGTCTATCCCTACTATACGGTAGAGTCAGCCAATGCCCAACATCTAGATTTACATTCCACAGCATTATGCTAGAAACAATGCCAAATATTTACTACACTGCAGTGAAATAACGTAAGCATGTCTAAGCACAGTGTTGTGAATGGAATGTAGATTAACATGGTTGTAGGCGGGTTTAACTGCAGGAAGACAAAGGACAGGTAGCTCGTCAGGTGCATGCTGTTGCCATTTGAAAGACAAATATGACTGAAATAGATATATATGGAAGAGGTCAGATCGTTTTATGTATGACATGTTTAACAGCACAACGCAAGTGGGTCCACCTTTGTTTTGGATTCATTACAGGTGCATAAAGCTGCCAGTTCTAGCCAATGCAATTTTCAAAAACACAAATGTATCTGCTGCCAAGTACCAAAAGCATTTTAATGAACTACAATGACCACAGATCATTGTCTCAGCTGAGACCAATTGAAAACAGCCAAGTATTAAATATATCACTACACTGGAGAAACAAACTGCCAACCTGCATCCAACACTGTGTATAGAGATACAACAACTATTGAAATAGTTATTTGTGGTTAGGACAACGTCACTATTCAAAACACACACACACACACACACACACACACATTAGGAACCTCTCTTTTTAGGAAGTGCAGTACTACACTTGACAGGCAGGAAACAGACTCCTTGATCGGGCCTCCACCTCACATGCCGTCCTGGACTCTCCACCGCACTATTCTCAGGCCTAGTGCTTGCTTGTGGTCACTTACATCCATTCATAGTACGATGATATGAACACACGCGTCACTTCAGAGGAGCCCAGTGAAAGATGAGCTGTCAAAACTAACAAATCAAAAACCTGACAAGGCCTGACAGGTAGTTCTCATTTTTTCCAGGTGGAGCACTGCGATACCTCTTACAAGGTATACCTTTCAGTCTTGTGAAGCGCTGGAATAAAACTGTAGTATTTTGAGTAAGCGTTAGTATCACTCTTGGATCAAGTGGCTTGTTAGCTGCAGGCTACAAGTTCAAATTCTTAGACTTGCTTGGGTGGTTTGGATTGGCTCTGGGAATGAATGGGAATGAGTTAAGCCCGCTGTATGCTGCTTTGTTGAGGCCTTCCAGCAAAGATTGCTGAACCTTTCTTCAACTGTTATCTTCCCTATCAACACGCTCTACCAGCATCAACACACAGACCAATCACAGGTCTTGTGCTTACAGTTTCTCCCTTGTAGTCACTGTGTTTTTGTGTGTGTCCTCTACAACACCTTGCTGCAAAAGCATAAACCCCTCTTCAACATCTCTCCGGATGTGCCTCTGCATGTCAATTCAGCCCAAACTGCTCCAGTGAGGCTACTCTGGGTGTCCAGAAAAATATATCTCGTAACTTGGAAGCTAGCACAAAGCAACTGTGATGCAAGGGAAGTAAAAACAAAAAAACATCCGTTGACAAAATGCAGTATTTTTGATGTAATGCACTTTGACACACAGTCGTGTATTTTTGTGTAAGGACTTGTGGTCAACTCTTGCAGCAAATAGATTGAAATGTTTGGAGATGTGTCCACAACTTTCACCAATAGTGGCCCAAGACTTGTGCAGTACTGTATGGAAACTGGAAAATATCTGCTAAAATGACCTTAATTCATGTTTGTTGCATGCCTGGTTATGGGCTACATGCTGGGTGTTATAGCTCCAGATCTAACGGTGAGTAATCACACACCGGTCATCACAGACAGGCTGTTCTAACCCTTCATCTTCTTACCGTACCTTTGAGCTGCGGCAGCGGCGACAGCTCCACCGGAGCGCTCTGTGTGCGGTACTGAGACGAGCCCTGGGATTTCCTCTGTTTCTGGGCCTTCCTCATGGACTTTCTCGTGAACCCGTCCACTTTCTCGGATGCGGAGATGGCCGACATTTTGAAGTGATGAAGACGTCCGATAAAAGCTATTTGTATCCCCTAGGACAAATGGAAGGTTTCCTCTTCTGTTCGCATTAGCACAAATAGCACAGAGCCAACTGCACGACCTGAAGCGCGTCTCCTGATCCACAAGTCTGGTGTTATTCTGTATGATCCAACATGGTCGCTCGGTATCGGGGGTTAGACCGTGTCCAAAGACTGCATCACACGGATATAACTAGTACTCTACAACACGAGGACAGTCTTCAAAACACAAACCAAAAAAAAGCTACAACAAACTACAACTCATGGCACTCCCCGGAGTTACAAACATAAGACAATTATGGCCTAACTTCCAAAAAATGCTGATGTGTTTTTTTTTTTTTTTTACTGCTTTGTCATATTTGCACACTGTCTACCTGTTGGAAAACGTATTAAAGACATTGCCATAAAAACGTTGCCCAAATGAATCGTAAAGTCCGGACAGTAGCTAACTACTGTACTGCTAGCATGCCTAGCTAACGTTAGCTGGCGTGCTAAGATTAGCCGAGGTTTATGTGCGCCACTACGACAACAGTGTGCACCGCTGCTGAGGAGGAAAAGTTACAAAGGATAGTTGCCCCGTTAAATTCATGTAGTTCTTCAAGTCCAAGTCTTCCAGCGCTTCTATTAATCCTAGCTGGACTTCCGTTGGAGCGTATTTTTCCAGAAGAGTTCACGTTATCCTGCGATCGTCGAAGTTGAATTTCGCTCGACGACCGAAGTCTCGTTTAACGTTAGCACTTAAAAGTTAGCAGGGTCCACGTTCAGTCGACGTCGTCCCAGCTACCTTCATCGTTGAATAAAGAGCAGTGGTTTCGTTTTCACGGCCTCAAAAGACACCGATTACTCAGAAGTACGACAAAATGTACTGGCCGTCGTGCCGTGTAGCCTAGGTAGCCATCAAAAACACTCCCAGTACAATCGTTCAGACGTCGTCTGTCTCACTTCACTGTTCGCTCGACTGCAGAGCCTGACAGGTTGTACGTCATTGAGTGACGTCTCTAATGGCCAATCACAAGCGGAGAATTAAAAGCCTGTAAACTTTTTAAACCAATCAAGTCCCGCAGAACGCGGGGCCCTGAACATGTGACTTGGGAAAACAAATATGTGACGGTGTACCAGTCGTTGTACAGTTGAACGAGGAGTGGCAGCTGTAGTAGGTATTAAATTAATTTTAATAATTATATGTATATTGTTTGTGTATTTTAATCAGGGAAAGCAATCATCCATGTTTCATCGAACCAAAATAAAAATAAAAATCGTGGGAAAGGAGATGATTATAAAATACTACTTTATAACTTTAATAAACAGAATAGAAGAATATACCTTAAAGTACATTAGTGGTTCAAACAGTGAGAAGCTTAGACGGCTATAAAAAGCAAGGAAGATGTTCCATTTGCAGACTTTCCTGTTTCCTTTGTTACGTACACCTCTACGTTCTAACTCTCGATACGCCTAAATGTATTCAAATAAAAACTATGTGCAACCTGCGAAGGCTTTGTAACTACTGCAGTTAATTATTAGTCATGACATTAGTCACTTGAGTCTCACCAAGCACTCCTTATCACACAAACGCATGAATCACACTGATAAAATGCAAGCAATGCCATACGCATTGAAACATCTTTTGAATTTAATAAAATCTGACCACAGCAAATTTGCATCAATGAAATACAAAAGAACCAAGCAACGATCATTTGTTACTTTGTACATATAAACAACTTAAGCATTAGTTCAAGAAATAACATTTTGCAGAATATGATTTGGGTAAGATTGAAAGAAAAAACAATGAAACCCATACATGCAATAAATAAACTTTGTGACATTCATAAAACTACTCAAAGATGTGGATCAAATAAATCGTATTTTTTAAGAAGAATTTAAAATGTTCGTATTTGCAGACAAACATTTTCCTCTGCACTTGAGGATTAATACCTGGTTGAACAACTTCATTAACTGTGTTCTTGTATTAAACACTAATGTATATCTTGAAGTTGTCAGTTTTGAGTAAAATTAATGATTTACTCACCAAAACATACAACATTTTTTTCAACCAGAGATTGTGTACAGCACAAGAAAATTGTGCAGCTGGCAACTGCAAAACCCATTTCCCAATTCAAATAAAAAAACAGCCTCTTGGGATTTGAAAACTGCAGCATCAATTATTTAGAATGAGTGTTTTGTCAAACTATGCAGCCCAGGCTCATGTAATCTGGATTTACATCAGTCTTCTTAGAGGCTTATTGTCTGTCAGTTCAGGTTAAAAACACTCAAAATAAAAAAAATCTATCTTTTCAAACAGAAGCACAAAGCATCTCACTGTGTGTCACTCCAGAGCCCTTCTTGTGAAATACACGGAGATTTTCTTCATGGTTTGTGGTGAGCGGATGGTCTGAAAAACAAGACACAAAAAAATGGTGAACTGCAATATTAATCTTCATAGCTGTAAAGCATCCCCATGCACATAAGCATGAGAAACGATAAGGAGGGTGAGGCCTCAATTACCACACAATCTTTCTGTGCTGGTTGACAGATTGTTACGTTTGGACAGAGCTGGGCTAGCAGTTTTCCCTGCTTTCAGTCTTCAGGCCAAGTTAAGCTAACATGCAGCTAGTCAGATAGTGCTTATCCTAAAATAACTTCATTATTCCAGTCTTCCATAATCCAACATCTGTGTCAAAGACGTTTCTATCCTGACAAGGTGCTCTACATGATAGACTAACACTAACTACTGAGAAAAGGTAAAAGCTGGTTAACTTCTGAAGCAGAGATTTTTGTGCTTACCGGTGAAACTGGTGTCTTGCCTTCTTGTTTCTTAGAGGCGCTGGGGCTTCTGGGAGTACTGGGGCTTCTGGGAGTACCGGGGCTTCCTTGACCTTTCCTCATCTTTTGGCCCATCTCTGACAACCAGTCCTTTTCTCTGGGAGAGCAGTTCTCCTTGCCCGTCTGTCTCGGTGAGACTTGCTCGTTGTCCTCTGTGCGACAGTCTGTTTGTAGCCGGCTCTCTTGAGCAGGGCAGCAGATCCCAGACAGGACACGGCTTCTCTTGGCCGCAGGGTAGAGTTCAGTAACACAGTTGCACTGTACTACGCCCTCACAGCCGGCAGATGCTCCGTCACCCGTCTCCAGCCTGCGCTTGGCCCGTCGTTCTGTGGGAGAGGTGGTGCTGCTCGCCGGGCTCTGGGGACACGGGCTCAGCACCCTGCGGGCCAGAGGGTTGAGCTGACCCGGAGACCCACAACTCGGGGATAACCACTGTTTGATAGAAGATGACGTTCTCTGGCGAACAGCAGCAGCACCCGTAGCACCCTGTGAAGGGATGGGTGAGGTGGTGCTGGAGGGCAGAGGCAAGGCAGCTCCACTGGGAGCACAGGCAGCCAGCTGGGGGGACGCCAAGCCTCCAAGACTCTCTGTCCTCTGGTTCTTGGCAGGAGTTGTTTCAGCTCTGATTGAAGGCCCTTCACAAAAGCAGAAGTCCTTGTTAGTTCACCGTGAATACTTTGAATGATACATTTTGCATTCATGGGCAGGACAGCAGTGATTTATGACAAAGTAAGGAAACAAAAGAATACAACAGCCATCAAAATACATTGTATATATTGTTAGAAGGTGGTTCATGATAGTAGTAATGTTTACTTGAGGGAGCTTTAGGACGTGCCCAACCCACGAGGTTGGCCTCTCCCACTGAAGATTGTGCTCCATCCATCTCCCGGTGAAGTCTCCAGATCCGTACAGTGTGGTCATCAGAACAGGAAGCAATCTGCAAACAGAGCAGTCGGGATTAAAGGAAATTTCATCCATCTTCCCAGCCTATTAAAACAGCTCAGCACCACAGCAGGGAAACACAAAAACCTCGGGATCATACTCGGAGTCCTTGGAAAAACCAGAAACATAATAGTTTTGTTGGCTTACCTTCGTAAAATCGGTCGGGCACCAAGCGACAGATGTCACTTCCTCGCTATGGCCTTGGAGCATCATGGGAGGTTGTTTAGGATCAGAGATCTGAAATGTAAAATTAGACGCAAGTTGCTAAAATACACCATCACAATCACCCTAAAACATTACAAATGCTACAACATTTTAACATTGCAACATAAAACAGAGACAGTACCTTCCAGACGTATGCGTTATTGTCACTTGAACCACTGGCCATGAACTGGTCATCTGGGCTAATAGTGGACTTTACATAAAATGAGGAGTTCTGGTGGCCACTGAAAACAGCCACTGTGGAGGGAAACAAAACTAATATGAGAATCACTTGATAAAAGTTACATTCGGACTCAGGACTTCATATATTTAAAGCTCTGACTTTAAGATATTAGAATATGTTTGTGGAAGCACACAAAATACCTGCGTCTCTACACTTCCTCTGTCAAACAGTGCATCTAGTGATATGCAATTAATTAAATTAGGGATCAACTGTAAAATGTCCATTTTGGAACAGATACACAATATCTGGAGTCCTTGTTTACCTGGAGTCGTTTTCATTCCGCTGACGTTGAACATGTAGATATTATCATCGGTACAGTTACTTATGACGTTGGATCTTGTGGAGTCCAGAACGAGTCCAGAATAACCTGCAACACATGCAAAACATACAATCAGCTACTTATGGTAATTTGCATATTTCAGGTAAACAGGACAAAAGGCAGTTTTTGTACAAAACTAACCCAGTCGCATGCGCATGCAAGAACCCGGGTACGGGTACGTCTGCAGGGGAACAGGATCCTGACGGAGTGCGGTGTAGTTCTTCCTCAGATCCCACATCTTGATCACTCTGGTTCAGATGAAACAGAAAATGTATTTGAACCATGTACTTCTATTTGTCATTTTATACTGGCTTGCTGCGTATTAGAAACAAGAAACAGTTTGTTTCTTACCCATCAACAGCCCCAGAAGAGATGAGGGTGTGCTGATCCCGGAACAAAACCACCGTGACACTCTGCTGGGTATCCTGCAAGAGAGACGAGGCGGTCAGCGATCGGACTTCCTTTTGAGCAGCCCTACCGCTCACTTCATTAACGTTGTGGAAGAAACTCACCACACTGGGAGCCATGCCACGTGTGCTGCTCCGCCTCTTCTTTGTTTTGGCGGGAGCGTTGGTCTCCGCTTTGTTATGAGCACCACTGATCTGTTTCACCTGCCTGTAGAAACCATCTGAGAGGAGGACACGAACGCATAAGATACCCGGACTAATCTTTATGCATTTTCCCCATGAGGCCTAATATTTCAATACAGTTTAGAAATTAAGATTGGGTCTGACAAAACACTAAATATCAACACAATACAAAAACAAAACCGGTGAAATTTAAATGTCTAATCGATACCTCTTTTGCTGCACCTGGTGTCCCAGACCATAATATTTCCATCTCTGCCCCCAGTACAGAACACAGCTGTTTAATAGAAGACAAAGCATCAATAGTGTGTATAACAAAGCATCATTAATGCAAAATATATTATATTTAAATGAAAAATGTCCCATGTCATGCATCCACCTACTTAACATTAAATACACTGTATTTTCTTGATTTTTAAATCCAATTATTCAACTTGGCAATTACGTATATGACTGGTTATATTAAAGCAACAACAATAGGTGAGAGTGTATATCAACATTTCAATAAATAACAGGCTGTCAAAGCCACAACCTCCAATGTCACACCACCAACACAGTGTTTTCTTGAGTCTTTTGGGAGAAAACAGGGAACAAAATACACCCCGGAAACTGTATTTGGTGACTTTATAGTGTACCTTTCTCCCAGGGTGTGAATGCAACAGACTTGAGGCTACAGAGGTGACCCTTGAAGCTGCCCAACAGCTCCCCTGAGTTCACGTCCCACAGCCGGGCCATCTGATCACCAGCAGCAGTCACCTAAGAATGACCAATAACATGTATTTTAAACAAGGCTGCATTTGTTAGAAAAGGGAGTTTTCAAGTTGCTTTAAATGCTGCAATACAAACAGGAGGAGATAATGAGGAAATACAAAAAGTCATAAACAAAATAAAACCAGACAATTATCAATGAATGCGTCAACAATATCTGTGTAAAGATGTATTGATGCCTAATGCATTTAAAAGATGTTACTGACATTATGATTCATAGATGACTAATAATATTGCATGCATTAGAATTGAACTTACCAAGTGAGGCTCCCCCGGTACCCAGGCTATGTCAAAGACAGCATTCTCATGAGCCAGCCATTCTGCAGACATTCACACACCATTAGTCCCATATTTCCTAATAACAGAACTGCTGTGAATTAAACTGAGTCGTCTCACATACCTTTAAGGAGTGTCTTTTCCCGGCTCTCTGTGTTGTAGATCCTAACGATGCCTTCTTCATTAGCCGCTGCGAGGACGTTCTGCATGTGCCCCGCTGAGGAGAGACACACCCCGTTAGATGGATGAACGGCAACAGCTCCTCGCTATGTTGTGTGTAATCTGAGGATTATGTGGAATTGTTTGGGTGGGTTACCAGAGGAGAAAGCCAATCCAAACGGCGGCACAGGGTCGCCCAGGTTTCCATAGGAGATGTGTTCATCATGCCGGACGCACTCGAAGCCTCCCAGCAGAGAGCTCAGAGGGTACCTGGGCCGGGGGTCCACAGGCAGGGCTGAGGAGATCAGAGAATAAAGTACATGTAGTCAGACACTGTACTAAAACTACTAGCAATACTGATACTTCACCCATCTAATGGCTGCAGTTACTTACCATTTTACAGGCTATGAATTGACATTTACTTCTCAGTTTTAAAAATCTGTAATTCATGGCTTGGGCAGTAACTCAATATGATCATTAATCAATGTTCATTGGCATTTTATCGTAGTGTTAAAATCGTTTTACCACATTCTGTTATCCAAATTGTTGTATTTACAAACAGATTAGAATGTATATCTGAAAAAAGTAGTCACTGAAGGGCTTTCTTCAGATGTTAGGAGTTATAATGCGTAACAGTAGAGCGTCAGTTTCTTTTTATCATATGATTGGGCCTAACTTACATTTTATATGTTGTGGTCGCTATTGTAAAAATGTAATTATTAATATGGTGATATTGACACATTGGAGAAGCGGGTTTTTACGCTTTTTAATGCAACACCACGTTTAATGTTCGCTCTTAAACTAACGTCAGTTTGAGCTCATTTATTATACTTATAATTATACTGCCATGGGAACAGAAACAGCACGCGACCAAAGATCCAACTAAACTACGGTGTTTTTTACCACAATTAACATGAAACATTGAGGTAAACCTACATTACCCTTGATGTTAACCTAGCATAAGTTTAGATAGCGCTATAAACTACAGAGCAACACCCGAAAAGCTCCCCAAATATCCGCAAACACACTGATTATCTCACCATTAAACCTTCGTCTGCCAGCTCCTCTGTCGACTATTGAGCGGAAAAGCATCCCTGTGCCCTACACTCCAGTGGAGGACGATCTGAAATAATATTCAATAACACGGAGAAGTATGTCAGATTAGCTGGAGGTCTTTTTCTGTGAGCTGATGCTTGTGCTCTTCTTTCCCGCGAACAGATCGTCTGAACACAGGACTGAATCCCCCGCTAAATAACGTTACGAGCTCCCATTGGTCGAAAGAGCCGCGTCCTCACGAGCGTCACATCCACTTCCTTCCTGACGGGGTTCTGTAAAGTTTACCATAATAACTACCAACGGATCAGTATTTTAATTTATTGCCTACATTTTCTGTTAATATATAATTGTATAATATCGTATTTTTCTTCCTTTTTTAAATGTATTATATTACAGTTCTCCTTTGTCCGGCTACCATGTTGAATGTATGTATGTAATGTCATCCATCTGTCATTATGATGCTAGATTGTTTTCTAATTTGTCTAAATGTCACATGTTGTAAGTGTTGATTTCTACAATAAAAACAATGGCCCAGTACACTGAAGCACTCATGTTAGTGCAGCATTATTAATACTGGATCATTGTTGCATTATTGCAAGCAGTACTTAAACACTGAATTTATTCAAGGTCATTTTAGATACTAAGAAAGTTGGCTTCAAAATGTAATGAGTTACGAGCGCTTTATTATGAAAACCAAAACTAGACCAGAAATGTTGTTGCTACAACATCCGGTTTGAGTGTGTCTAGTTCGCCGCCTGTATACATGAAATGCTAACGGCTCATGGGTGCTGTCAAGACTGTTTTTTGTTTCTGGTGATAAACACAACTAACCAATAATGTCGCTGTCAACTGCACGGTCTTTCTTATCAGAGGCTTGTTATGGCGAACAAGAACTTGATGCCAATTCCGCTCTCATGGAGCTGGACAAAGGTACGTAAGCTAGTTTGCTAACACGTTAGCATCGGTTGTAGTCTGATCCTGAGTGTTGTGTATTCTCTCCATGTGTTGGTTTTTGCGCAATGTTACTGTCGAAATGAGACCTCCTTGCCTTTGTTGTGACCTGTGACAATGCTTCCGTCCCAGGGCTGCGGTCGAGTAAGCTGGGGGAGCAGTGTGAGGCTGTGGTGCTCTTCCCAAAACTCTTCCAGAAGTACCCGTTTCCCATCCTCATCAACTCTGCTTTTCTGAAGCTAGCAGACCTCTTCAGACTCGGGTATGGATGCTTCACGTGGTATTAAGACAAATAGCTCATTGACAAAATGTGAATGCTTTCCAATTCTGATTATAACTTATCTCCAAAATGCCATATGTACAGTTGTCAGTTTGTTAGGTACAACAGGTCAAAAGTAAAGCAGTCTATGACAAGATTAAAACAGCAATAAATCTAAATATTACACTCGCCTCTCAATAATATACAAAACAATTAAACTGCACCGCTAACTACATCCTGAAAGTACACTTATTAACGTGTGTATGGCGTGTTGTCAGTTAAACTGGTTTTATTGTGGCACAGATCCCTCTGTTTATAAAAACTTGTTGCTCTGATTTCAGGAACAATTTTCTGCGCCTCTGTGTGCTGAAAGTAACTCAACAAAGCGAGAAACATCTGGAAAAGATCCTCAACGTCGACGAATTTGTCAAAAGGGTGTTTTCAGTCATCCACAGCAACGACCCTGTGGCCAGAGCCATCACTCTGAGGTAATAACCGCGTAACGCACCAACATCTGGTAACGTTGTACTACTCTACAGACCCAGAGAGGATGAATGACGCCTTTTTGTTTCTATTCAGGATGCTTGGTAGTTTGGCCTCTATCATCCCAGATAGGAAGAACGCCCACCACAGTATTCGCCAAAGTCTGGACTCCCATGACAATGTGGAAGTAGAGGCAGCCATATTTGCTGCTGCAAGCTTCTCTGCACAGTCAAAGTAAGGGAAAGTGTTGCCTCACCTGAGCTGTTGTGCATATATATATGGGATGATGTTTTGTATACGATACATTTGGTGTGTTTTTCTTATTTCAGAGACTTTGCAGCGGGGATTTGCAACAAAGTCAGTGAGATGATTCAAGGTAAAAATCTATTCAATACTTAAAAGGTCATGAGGGGATATTCTGTGAATACATATTTTATGTAATCCACAAATCCCTCATGGATGTCCAGCAGGTGTTCGTAGACTTGTTTTGTCTTCTGTGTATTGACCGTCCTCTTGCACTCATTTCTCAACCTCAGGGTTGGACACTCCAGTGGATCTGAAGCTGAAGTTGATCCCCATGCTGCAGCACATGCATCACGACGCCAGCTTGGCCTCCAGCAGCAGAGAGCTCCTGCAGCACCTGGTGAACTCGTACCCCTCCACCCCCATGGTCATCGTCACCCTGCACACCTTCACCCAGCTGGCTGCCTCCTCCCTCATCGACATCCCAAAGCAGGTAAAACCATGACAGAGCTGTGCCTCATTGTTATAGGTTAGGTACTGTAGTGTGACGTTCACACATAGAAATGTATACCTTTGACGTTTGGCTGTTAATCAGATGGATGTCAGGAGACATCGTAGTCTTTTATATGTGCAGTACACAATTGAGCCACACGAGGGAGCCTAAATGTTTGTATTGGTCTGATCACTGTAGCCCACTTTACATTTAATCTAATATTAATATACAGTTGCAGCTCCTCCTTCAATACCTGAAAGGCGACCCGAGAAAAGCCGTGAAGAGACTCGCAATCAATGACCTGAAGCTTTTGGCTAAAAAGGCCCCTCACCTCTGGATCAGAGAAAACACCCAGGTAGAGATTCAGTGTCTGACTCTGCAGTGTTGTCTTGATGGAGGTTTAAACTCTGCAGGTAATCTACTGTGTTTCATCTCCGCAGACCCTGTGTGAATGTGCCTTGTCCAGCCCTTACAGCAGCTTGAAGCTGGGGATGTTGTCCGTCCTCTCCACGCTCTCTGGAACAATAGCAATCAAGCAGTACTTTGATAACTTGACAGGTTGTGTTCACTTTTAAATACAAAGACCAAAGCATTCCTTATGTAAAACATGTATTTTTGCTGCTGATTCTGTTGTGAAGAAGGGATCAGCTCTAGACTGATGGGCGCTCCTCTCAAACATTCCTCTCAGGTGGCTCTTCGGTTCTCCCCCGGCTCACTGACCTGGTTAAACTGGCACAGGAATGCTGTTATCATAGCAACCTGGCAGTGGCTGCTCATGGGGTCATAGTGCTCTCAAACATCGCCATTTCCTGTCCAGAAAAAGGTGAGTTACAGCAAATAGATATTTAGCTAATTAGGTATTCTTCTAATCAACAGGTTTTGCTCACTTCTAACCCGCTGATGTTTGCTCTTAAGGCTGAAAGTGTTGCTGTGTTCCTCCTCCTCAGATATAGTGCAGCTGGAGCAGGACACAGTTCTGGGAGTGGAGTCCCTTCTGATGCTTTGCAGTCAGGACAGCAGTCCCAGCGCACAGGCCACGCTCAAAGTAAGACCACTTCAGAGCCACGGCAAAGGGCTTTGATTGGATGAATAGGGATGGGTACATTTGGTATGCGTTTGTATCACATAGTACAGAAGGCTGTCACCTTCTGTAAAGTTGCATCAAATGCCCAATAATTTAGTTTACTTATTGTATGATCAGAAAGTTTCTGATTTAACTGCTTGTGTTGGTAAAACAGTTTGGCCTCTTTCGGTGTTCATCTCTAACATCTGATGGAAAAATGACTGCAAAATGATTTTTGGAGCCTTGCTCATTAACAGTGACAGCCATAAGACCAGCACACGTTACCAAAACTCACTGTCATCCACCTCCTGGAAATGTAAATGATTGTGTTGACCGTCATCCATCCCATCTCTACATCATGAGTTAGTCACACCCATTCTTCTACTTCCCTTTTTCCAACCCTAGACAGCCCTCACCTCATTGGTCAAACTGCTGAAAAGTCGCCCGCATCTCAGCCAATTGGCGGTGGACTTCCTGCTCGGCCAGCTCCACTTGTCCTGCGACTCCTCTCGCGTTCTCATGTGCCACGCTCTGGCCGCCATCGCCACCCACCTGCCGGTGCTGGGCGACGGCATGCTGGGAGATCTGGTGGACCTCTACAGAGTGGCCAGCCACTCCTCAACTGACAAGCAGCAAGAGCTTCTGGTGAGAGATTGTGCCCGAGTCAGACATCAGTAGATGAAAGAGTTAAGGGACTCGTAGCAGCATTTATCTATGTTCTGCATGTGCAAACCTGTTTACAATTAGGACTAGAACTTGTTTTTTTTACTGCTAACCCACAACTATGTTTAAATAGCTGACATGCTCTCGTATTTATACTTGTATGTCTCTTTGGGATTTCAACGCTCATCATTCCCACGGCGATTGCTGCAGGTTTCCTTGGCAACAGTGATTTTTGTTGCCAGCCAGTCGTCTCTGTCGGCCGAAGTGAAGACCGTCATCAAACAGCAGCTGGAGAACGTCGCTAACGGCTGGACGGTGTACCGCATCGCTCGACAGGCCTCACGCATGGTAATCTCTTCTGCTCGTGCTTAACCAGACCTACACTGTAAAAAGTATTTTTGTTGAGCTGCTAAATGCCTCCCGAGGCAGAAGCATCCATTTGTTAGAAGCCACAAGATAGCGCCGCCAAATACCTGCGACTGAAACATAATGGAGTATTACCGTTGATCTGCAGGGGTGCCACGAGTTCTCCAGCGAGCTGTACCAGAGTCTGCGGACCCGCGTGGCGTCGGAGCACTTCTACTTCTGGCTGAACAGCTTGAAGGAGTTCTCCCAGGCGGAGCAGTGCCTCAGTCACGTGGAGGACGGAGACTACAGCGGAGCCATGACCGCTATCGCCGAGGCCCTGCGCTCCTACCAGAAGGGCATCGCTTCCCTCACGGTCGGTTAACTTTCAGGCCTCTGCGTGTCAAAAATCACGAATACAATCCCTCCTTCTGCTTCATTAATGGAGGTTAAAAGCTGCTGATACTCAGTCTGGAGAGTATTGTAATGAAGCTGATTTCACAGCATCTCAACTTGTTAATGGATTAAGTCACCTAACACCTGATTGTATCTCGTTAGGTCGACTCAACGAGACACCGTGACGCCGGTCAGCTGTCGTGTTTATGTGCTGTGATCTGATTAATCCCTCCCTCCAGGCCGCCAGCACTCCTCTGAGCCCGCTCACGTTCCAGTGCGAGTTCATCAAGCTGCGCATCGACACTCTGCAAGCCCTGTCGCAGCTCATTTGTACCTGCAACAGCTTAAAGACCAGCCCTCCTCCCGCCATCGCCACCACCATCGCCCTCACCTCAGGCAATGACCTGCAGCGGTGCGGCCGCATCGCCATGCAGGTAAAACACTGATGCAGTCACGTTGTAACGTGCCGCAGCACACCACATACTCGCCATGGCATCAATTTCTCAACATTTAGGGGAAGGTTTTGACACGTATTGTTAACCAGGACCTAAACTTAATTAGAGGAGATGAGATGATTAATAGCCCGGGTGTCCAAATGTAGTTAATTCATCAAGCCTCTGCCTTTCTTCTTCTTCTTCTTCTTCTTCCCCCAGATGAAGGTGTGCATGGATGAGTTCAGAAGTCTCGCAGCTCGCTACGCTGATCTCCACCAGTCGTCGTTCGACGCCGATTATGCCACCCTCTGCAATGTGGAGCTGTATCCTCAAACGTGCCTCAGTCACCTCACACGTTTCTCTGTTTTGACTACCCTGGTTACTCCGCTGTATCTTTAACTGTCTGCTGCTCAGGCAACAACAGAGCTGTTTGCTGGTCTCCCATGTCATAGAAGCACTGATACTGGACCCACAGGCTGCAAGGTGAGAGCTGCTGTAGTCCACAAAGCTGGAACAGTTATTCATGGTGGAAATTTTTAAATGAAATGTTGAGGCACAAGGCCACCTTTAGCATCTGTAAGCTACAAAGCCGGGCTTGTTCGACGACCTCGGATGAGACCAAAATAATGTTTTATTTCTCTGTTCTCCCTCTCTTCCTGCTCGCCTGCATATTAAACCTTTTAAATGTTTCATATTGAGAGAAATGCCATCCTGTGTTAACCAACTACAGCGTGATGTAGGTTTTTCTGTAAGCTGCACATTTGCTGTAGATGACAACATAATGAAAGTAAATGCACTTTATTTAACTTTATGTTACTTGAGTGTTTTCCATTGACAATGCTTTGCCATAACATGCATCCCTGCAGGCTTCCTCCTGGCAGTCATGTCTGTAACAGATCGTCTCTCTTTCTGTAATCTAGCTTTCAGGAGTACGGTAACCTGGGCTCGGTCCAGACCGAGAGTGAATATGAGCGCCGGATGATGTCTGTCTTCAGTCGTGTGTTGGAGGAAGTGGAGGGCCTCACCCAAAAACACCCTCCTGTTTCACACCTGGTAAATCCCTTGTGATCACATTACTTATGCTGACAATTTAGCTGCAAGGTGTCCAGAAGTGCAGATGACAGACAAACGCTCTGCTGATTAATAATGTCAATAACTTGTTGTTGTTGTTCTGCAGCATACAGGTTGTCTCTGTGATGCCGTCATAGCTTTGCTCAAGGTCCCGCTGTCTTTCCAGAGGTATTTCTTCCAAAAGCTCCAGTCAACAAGCATTAAGGTACAGTAACAAACTTTATGTTCACTTTAATTAGAAAAGCACAACAAATGAACGTCCCAATTTACAACGATAGATGCCAAACAGATTGTAAAACTTGAGAGACAATAGAGAGCTCCCTGTACTACTTTCTATTACCAATGTATGATTTATCTCCTGATGAGATAAATAAATGCAGTACAGTTTTAGACTTACTCTTTGTGTAGTTTTATTACATTTACATATCCTCGGGGCAACACTAATTACAAAAGCAAGAATGTGAAAAGCCACACCCTCATGACAGATAACGTTTTTCGACATACTGTACAGTTGCAGCTTCATACAACAGTCTCTGTTTAGCGCTCTTAAAGCTGACTGATGTACTTCCTTTTACGAAAAATGTCCAGCTTGCCCTCTCTCCTTCCCCACGAATGCCGAGTGAACCGATCCCAGTGCAGAGCAGCCAGCAGCTGACTCTGAAGGTGGAGGGGGTGGTGCAGCACGGTTCAACGCCAGGACTCTTCAGGAAAATCAAGTCTGTCTGTCTCAATGTCACTTCAGTCCTCCAGAGCAAGACAGGACCTGAGTACAAGGTATCTAGTGTTTGCCTTCCTCTCTGGTTAATGCTCAGATAGGGTGTTCTTAATCCGTACAAACAGTGTAAACACAGCTGAATGCTGTATTTATCCACAGATCACACTGCTCTGATGTTTGCACTCGCATCTGTTGCCGTCTTGCTGCTCCAATGATAATAAGACCGACTCCCATATTTGTCTTTTCCCTGTCAGGTTCCACTCGACACTAAGACCAATGAGATTGATCAGCAGGTAGAACCCCACAACGACTACTTCAGCACCCAGTTCTTGCTGAACTTCTCCATCTTGGGCACTCACACCGTCACCGTGGAGGCCTCCGTGGTGGACGAGACCGGCATCGAGTGGAAGACCGGGCCCAACACGACGGTGTCGGTCAAATCCCTGGAGGACCCGTACTCCCAGCAGCTCCGCCATCAGCTGCAGCAGAGTGGAACTCAGCCGGCTCCACAGAGGAGTGCATACGCTCGCTTCTAGCGAAACATTCTCTCAGCGCCTCAGCGTTAGAAACAGTTTTAGCTATAGTGTTGTTGACCTGTTTTGTAGCGACTGAATATGTACATACTTTTTCAGTGATTAAAAGACCAGATTTAATTTTAACGCTGCATATTGTGTGTAATCCTTCCGAGGTAATATTAACCAGGTGTAAAGGACGCTCGGTAATGCAGATTGACGGTACACCCAAAGGATTTAACGTGTCATCTATTCTATACTACATGAAGTGTAACACCATAAAGAGCCATCAGGGGGCAGAACATGGTCATTAAATGGACATCACTGTCTAAAGAGCACTAACATCTCCAATGTAAATTTCAGACATGTCTGAATAACAACTTTAATACATCAGTATTAAGACTTTTTGATTCGATAGTTGCACGTGTTTGTTCCTACAGTGTAACGTTTAATATCAACCTGTAGAATTATGACCTTAAGCTTTTCATATATACTCTGAAGTTCCAAACTAGCTTCAATTCCAACATATAACATAACACAAAATTGATGCAAACTCCAATAACCCACGCGTTTTCCGGTTAAAATGTAACTAAATTCAACGATTTTAACGGTGAACTCGCGCATGCACACTGGTGACGTAACCTGAAAAGAACTCTCTGTCGGTAATGAGTCCGGATGATTTGAAATTAAATCATAGGATACAGTCACTGGATTAGGAAAGTGTTCTTGTTCGTGGATAGTGAAACCATCAGTACTTGACATCAGAGTCTGCGCACTTAACCGCTCCAAACTGGCGTCAGGTGAACGAACGCGAGCGTAAAGTGAGAAAGAATTAAAATAAAAGTTACGTACCTTGTTTTCAAAATAAAACGTTTTGCTGAACATAGAATGTACATTTCCATACCACATTTAAAACCAAGGAAATACAGTTTTAAATCTCACATAAAATTGAAAGTTAGTCTGAGCTAATTCAGAGAATGGATTTATTCAGATGATCCTTTAACGGTAAGAAACATTTCAATTATTGCCTTTCTTAATTGCAGACTAACTAATTTTCCAATTTGTACAATATTTAAGATATGTATGTATTCGTTTTCCCTCTTTATGTCAATATGTATTGATGTAGTTTTCCAATGCTGGTCATTCTTCACACTGTATCACGTTGGATAATTTAATTGTGTTTTATGGAATTCACTATTTAAGTTTCATATTAAGTGATGAAGGTCTTGCATTATCATACTCATACGGGTCATATTATATGTCGTTATGTATTCAGTATTTGCGACACCTTCCTACATTTGACGCTTTTATTTTAAAGGCAATGAGGACTCACTTCCGTTCGTGCTCTTCTGATCTTTTGTGTACATTGGCGCTGTGTGACTCGAGGTCTGGAGGAAGATAACGGGTGCTATACCAGCCTATAAACTAAAACATCGCTGTTCTTTGCACTTGATGTTCCTATGTCGGTTACAGTTTATAACCAGCTGCGGTGATTCCAAGTCCGGCCCAAACCGCATCTCGTCCACACTCGCAGATGGGAGCCCAGTAGCTAGCTGAAATTGACGAAGACGACGATGATGATGATGCATCAGTGGAATTATCCCAGTGTCTCCGACTGAGATGGAGCCAGCGACGCTCAAGTGGAGCTGCTTGCTAGCTAGCTAGCGAGCTAACGGTGCCCGGTTCACTGTTACCGAGCAGCCCTGGATTACGTGAGCTAGATGGGCGCTACTGCAGCTCGTTGCAACGTTATCAGACATTTACACCCATGAGAGACACTGACCATGTCGACTAGCACATGATGCTAACGTAACCGTTAAAGGTTAGCTACACGTGACAGGTTTTATCTCATTTTTAACCATTAGATACATCTCTGGCCGTCCTTGGGTGCTTCAATTACATTAATTGGGTGAGTATGAGCCACCAGATTTTTGAATTACAGGGTCTGACTATAGTCTGGATGAGGCGCTTTGCAGCAGCCCCCCAGACATCCTCGTTCACGTTTGGTGTTGTCTCCTGAAATACCCGAATACTTCAGTTTGTTAGCTGTATCTGTTATTTGTGTCAGTGTGTTTTCGCCATGGTGTTGCAGTCCACGGGTTGTCACACCCGAACATATCTCCTAACATCTGTTCCCGTTATGCTAACTCAGCTGCTAGCTAGCAAGTCATGAAGCGATCCCCCCACGTCACGTGCGACTGGTCCTTTTATGGTCCTGTCTGTGCATTCATTGCTTTAAGGACTAGCTATATCAGGCAAGTCACGAGGAATAAAATAGCCACATTTCAGAATAAAATAAACAAATAAATCCGAAGACAGCGTCCACTCCGCGCGTGTCACATTTTGAAATGCCGTGAAATAGCCTCACCCTCCACGGCAGACTCGATCCTCTGGGTGTCCAGGGTGTAACGTTGGGATTATTTGCGGATTTGTATCGTGCTCCGAGCACACTAGTTTGTTTACAGTCACACGCACATGACTCGTCTTCTGTCAAACAAGCCCCGACGGAGATGCTAACAGTTCGCTGTGTCTCTTGTTCCAGACGGTGTGTGTCAGGATGGCACAGCTCTTGGACGGGTCCGGCACACTGGGCTGGGTTCTGCTCAAGTCTGTGATCCGTTTTGTGTTCATGCTTTTCAACAACTGTGTGGCCATCCCGTCCTACTGCTTGTACCTGGTGCTCCTGCAGCCGCTCAGAATATGGGACAGCACTGCTTTCTGGCACATCGAAGGAATAATGTTCAAATGGTTGCTGGTCATGGTGTCTTCATGGGGCTGGATCGCAGGTTACACAGGTATCCACACACACACACACACACACACACACACACACACACACAGCCATTGTTCCACTGCTGCCTTGCATGCAAAGAAGTGTTTTGCATGCAGGACTCTGTGTTAACAGCTTCCTGATGCACCCACAAGATTGTTCTCAAACTGGTTAAGATGCTCCTCCAGTTTGATTGTTGTGTTTACCTTTTGAGTATCGGCGACAAGCATCTGTTTCACTGGAGAGAAAGAAAACCTGACAATATCCGAAAAGCCAAGAAATTTGGTTAAAAACATTTCTGTTCTGTTTGCTAAAAATATTGTTTTCTAACCCAAACAAAGATGGCAGCTGTAAAACAACACGTCTTTGCATAATGAATACAGTGTGACCCAAAATGTAAACATTTTAAAATCAGTCTGAGACAGAATGATGATGAGATAAATGAATGAAATGCGTGTCTTTGTTTTGAATCATGAGTGGCACAGCTGCTTGTTGCTCCACTTTCAATGGAGCGTTTCCATATAGTCAACATAACTTGCTGCTTTAACGGTGGTGTCATGAAAACGCCTTCATCCTGAAGTGCACAGTTTAGACTATTCCTATTTATTACAGTTAGATATGATCACATTTGTACTATGGGTGCACCGGGCACTGTTGAGCCTTCGCTAGTTCCAGCTCCTTAAATGTGAGGATGTGCTGCACTTCTTCGTCATCAATGACAGTGAATGAATTACCTTTTTGTTTTGGACTTTGGGGAAGACAAAACAAGATATTTGAACATGTCTCCTTCCACATATATGGTTTTGGTAGAAAACCAGCAGGATATCCTGAGTGCTTGTTTGTTGGTTCCTCTCCGCTGGCTGGTTGAATCTCTTGGAAGGGATTCAGGCAGTCAGAGGTGTTTGGTTGCACAGAGCTGCGAGCAAAATGCTTACAAATTGCTAAGTGGTGAACACGGGGCGCAACAAGGCATGCTGATTAATAATGCAACGCGTGCAGCCTATAGAACACCTGGTCTTGCGTTGAGTAACAAGTGTGATATTCTCTGATTGACAGTTTTAGGAAATGAGACACCATACGGCCATGTCATGCAAATCGGGGTTTAAGTTACATTTCGACTATTGGATACATACCTGTCATTTTCAATCTGGCACTTCTTACGGTTCGGCTCATGTGGATCAGCTCAGAAGGGCGACTCCTGCTAGACTGCTGTCAGATATTGGTCACATTACAAAAAAACCGAGCTCTGAGTAGTAAATGCGTATGGAATCATAAATAATGACAATATCAACATGGCACCATCGCTTTAGTGTAGGGGTCAGTGTTGTGACCCACAGCCAAGGACACTTTGACAGTGATGGTTCGATCCCCTCCGTTACCTTTCCCCTCAGCCCTCAGTCTCGTGTAACGACCAGGTCACTGTAATGTGAACGACCGTTGAATCTGAACAACACGCGTAGTTTAGATGCTCCAGGTTTCATCCAAAGTCACAGTTTTATTGTCACATTCACGGTGCGCGTTTGTCTGCATTCTTTACAAGTAACAGCTGTAAGTTATATACGTGTCGGTATCTGTACCCACCGGCTCCCAATGCAAACGATTTCAATACAACAAATTCCTGCTTGTTATGTTGCATCTACAAAAAAAAGACAAATATTACATTTTGCTTGCGTAGTTACGTGTCGAGCATTGTTTTTTGTTCGGTCTGCACTTGCCGAACAGTAAATGTGTGTCAGCGAAACGGGGATACTCGCTCAGAGCTCGACACGCTGCAGTCTGGAAACTGAGCTGAGGATGTTGCATCACCTCCACAAGAGGAAGCTGAACAATAGTACTTAAATTCAATACAGTCATGTCGTCAGTTCCAGAAGCTGACTTATACTGTTGCCATCTTTATCGATGGGACAGTTTAGATGTGAAGACGCAGGATGATTTGTTGAAAAAATGTTAGGTCGCAAGCAAGCAAGACGGGGGAGCTTGTGTCTTGAGAAGTTGAAGCATTTATTTATTCACACACACACACTCTGCACAGCTTCGTTACTGCTAACTTTATACTCGTCACACACACGCTCTCTCTCGCCTGGATACTCGCTAACGTTACGCAGGACTTTCAATACACCGCCGTGAACTCTAACGGCACACAATTCATCGGTTATCGTAACAGCTGGGCAGCTTGTGAGGCACCTCAACCACCGCCTGCATGCAAAGCACTAATCTCGTCAATGAATGATTGGTTTACGAGGGTCGGCTATCGGTCAGAAAAATTAGCATCCCTATCTTTAGCATCATAAATCATATAGCAATATCAGTCAATCATCATAATTGGATTTTTTTTGTTGAAATCATTCAGCCCCAGTTTAAATGTTGTAAAGTAACAAATGACTAAAGCTGAAACAAAATACAATATTAGAGTAGAAATAAAGTTTTGCAAAATTGTACTTAATTAAATGTACTTATTTACATTCCACCACTTAGTTTGACTCATCAAGTGGAGGGTGAAGGTAAGAGTGCCTGTGGTAGTGTGAGGTGAACTCTTGTTATTCTCGTGTGTGTCATGAAAGGTGTCTTGAGCTCTGAACTTGAAACTCGAGTCAGAGCTGTGCGCTCTGCATGCCGACAGCAGGACCGATGCATGTTTATGCCTAGAATACACACCAAAGAGACGAGATCAGACTAGTTCTTTAGGTGTAGATATTCTTGGTACAATATGAAAGGCTGTATTATTTGATTTTAGGAAAGATTTCACTCGTGAGAAGCAATTTAGCATATTCATGTAACTCCAGGCGGATATTTTCCCCGTTGTTTCTGTAGAAATTCAGTCATGGCAACCCAGTAAACTCTGAACAACTGAGCTTCATTCCTTTTGAAAGATACTCAGTCTATTCAAGAACAATCTAATGATAATAGTGCTATCACTAGCTTAACTCATAAACCCTTTCCCAGTGTGTTTTTAGTTTATTACACTCGGGTAATAGCATTGTAACGACGGCTAACGTGAGATACTTGCACTTGATTGTTGAGCCATGTTGCTGTGAACTCAAAGGCGTACTCGGATACTGTTTATGTTCTGCCGATTGCGCCTCTGTTCAGTCACCGGCACATTTAACATATTATGGTGATTACAATTGGCAAGCCCACTTTGCAGGATTAATTTAGATCGTTTAAATACTACGATTCTGAGATCTGTCAGTTTCATGCGTCAAGAATGAATCATGCTGAAAAAAATCCATGTTTGTCCAACAGTTACACAAGTTAGCCACCCCAGGTATGAGCATTTAGCAGGAACCAGCGTTATTTAGTGGCATTACTGTTATGTGGTTACTTGTGTTGCCACTTGACCTAACCCTCTTCTCCCATGTTGTTGACAAAAGCGCATGCAGGCTGATCAGCGTCCCACACACACAACAGTGGGCACAAACAGGATCTGTGAAGAGATCCGAGACGGTGATTTAGAAGATCGCAGACAGTTTCCTGGTTTTGATGAGGATGCATTGAGATCCAATCCCTCAACAGCAGTGCATAACAGCTTCTCTCCTTCCGTTCTGACCTTTCAAAATAAAAGCCCTAGACCTAGAGGCAACTCAACAAAATAGCGTAATATATTTTGCACGCTAAATGTCTGGACCTGTAGGCGAGACAGTCTGTCAGTGAGCTACAGACACAGTGGCGTGTGTAACCCCCTGAGCCCCTGACCCCCCTCAGTCATGTAGTGTAAAAACCACAACAACTTAGTCTCACGATCACCTGTTGGTGGCGGTCTGAACGGGGCCTTTGATCATATTCTGGATGTGATGTCAACATGAAGCACAGAGTAACCTGGTTCTTCAGGTCTCTGTACACATAAACATCATCCAGACTTCTGATCCTTGTCTGGATGAATTTGTGAATATTTCTTAGTCCTGTGTGATTAGTAAACAGAATGTCTTTGGGTTTGGGACCAGAGACCTGTTTGAGGGGTTGAGATGCCACAACGTCCTTCTTTTTATTTTTAAATGAAGGGTTAATCCGCTGATTATTCCCTTGACTAATTGTTTGCTCTATAAAATGGAAGGTATCGTCATTTCTCGTAGCCAGAGTTGATGTCCAAAACCCCAAAATATTCAGTTTACTATCGTATATGACAAAAAAAAACAATAAATCCTCACATTTGAGTAACAGAGACCAGAGAACCGGCTCAACATCATTGCTTTAAAGAATGGATCAGTGTGTTGTATTCTTCTAAACCAGGAGACCATTTCTGTGTGTAGCATAAGTTAAATATCTTTTAAATGTTTTGGTACAACAACGATCAGATCTCACTAAGCAGTAGTGAGGGCTGGAGTGAATTCAATGTGTATCACCTCACTTTGAAGCTATAAAAGAAGCTGCTCTTGGTTTGTTCCAGCCTCCGTGCACCCACACACGTGTTATTAGTTACTCTGTTGATTAGACTTCTTCTCTGGACTGTGTGGGTGTGTGCAGATCACACTTGATTGACATTGCTCTTAATGTCCTGAATTATCTTATTTGCACCTGTTTGACAGACAATTTACAGCTTTGAGTTTTTTTTTCCTGTATATAGGCCATCGCATGTCAGATCCTCATCAGATTGTCTCCTGTTTGACGTGAACATTTCTGGTATTTGAAAGCTTTTATTCAGGGACTGGTCTTGCTTACAGCCTTTGGTAAAATTGCATGAAAACACACTACAGGACAAGATGCGCGTGCAGTCATGTTGTATAAACTGCATCCCAGCACAGAATCATGGCACTGCAGCTTTGGGACGAGAGGCCAATCGCATCACTTTTGTTCTGAAGCCCTGAAACACGTTTGCGTAAATGGAGGCTGAATGTTTCATTCCCCCCGTGTGCAGAAAGGCTGTGCAATATTAATGTGGATCGAACAACACATTATGTGGTGAATCCATATTTTAATGTTGTGTTGGGATGTAAATGATACAACAAACCTTTGGAAGCAACGGATGGTGTCAAATTAGCTTTTAACTTTTAACGAGGGCAAGAAACAACAGGCAAGAGAGCCATTTAC